GTTGGGTAGGGTGCCGTCATTCATCCTGGCAGTTGTTGACACGTTTGCTCACACATACCTATGCGGTGCCTTTTGTTTGCTTGGTTCTCTGTACCAAGAGGTAGAAACCATAGCAATTAAAAACAAAACCAGCTTTGCTAAGTTATAGTTTACATACCAAAAAAGTGTACAGTCCCTGGGTTTAGTATATTTACAGGATTGTACAACCATCACCGTTGCCTGATACCATAACTTAAACATCTCCAAAGAAACTCTATGCCCATTCGGAGTCACTTTCCATTCTTCTCCTCCTAATGCCCTGGCAGCCATAAAAAAGAGATAATTACATACCACAGCATAGGTGAACACTGAAAACATGACACTTGTGAAAGAAGCGAGTCATAAAAAGCCACATGCTGCATGATTCTCTTTAATGTAATGTCCAGAATAAGCAAACCCATAGAGACACAAAGATTTTAGTTTATTTACCTAGGAGTGGAATTGCTGGGTCATGTGGTGAGGCTGTTTGACCTTTACAGGAATGGTGACACAGCACTTGTTTTAACGGAGGGAATTTTTTTTTTTAAAGATTTTATTTATTTATTTATTTGACAGAGAGAGAGAGACAGCGAGAGAGGGAACACAAGCAGGAGGAGTGGGAGAGGGAGAAGCAGGCTTCCCGCGGAGCAGGGAGCCTGATGCGGGGCTCGATCCCAGGACCCTGGGACCATGACCTGAGCTGAAGGCAGACGCTTAACGACTGAGCCACTCAGGCGCCCCTAACAGAGGGAATTTTAATGTAAATCATTTAACCAGTTATTGAAGGAGGAGAAGAGTATAGAAAGAATTGTAAGGTGTCATGGCAGTAAGGACTGCAGGGAATAGTATCTACTCCTAGAGCTGTGGGAACAAAGGGAAGAGATTGGAATTAAGACAATTAGAAACTGAGGAGGGCGTGCGACCCAGACCCCTGAGGAGAGGCCACTGCTGGATGGTGCTGGGGCTTCTGAGGGGGATATGGTGAATCTGGTTGTGCACATGAACTGGATTCGGTTCCTGCTAAGGAAGACCCTGATGATGAGTGTTTTCGCCTAGGCGTGAACGTGAGGTGCAGGTGAGGCACTTTGGAGGCATGTGTCTGTAGTCTTTCTGGGGTGTTTGGTGGTACTACCATGCCCTTTTCTAAGCTTGCTGCCAGTGTTTTGAGGCGGGCTGTCTCTTGACCAACATCCAATGTCTGCCTCCTCCTCTGAGGTCTGTCTTTTAGTTCTAGTTCTCAGCTTCCCACTGAATAGATGCGTAGGTGATGCACGCTCTAAAGACAGTGTGCAGGGCACCTGGCTGGCTCAGTTGGAAGAGCATGTGACTTTTGATCTCGGGGTCATGAGTTTGAGCCCCATGTTGGCTGTAGAGATTACTAAAAACATAAATAAACTTTTAAAAAAAGGCTATTTTGCAATAACATTGTGGATGTTGGAACAGCAGCCTACAGGTTACCGAACGGACTCAGGCCTGGTACTCACGTGATTCTTGTGGGGTGTGTCTGGTTCTGTCCGTTCATCCTTGAGATCACACACAATTCAGGTTTGCCACTGTTCAAATGTACATGAACACTCCTCCCTTTGCTCCATGCCCTTACCTGATCTTGTCCTGTTGCTGGTCCCTCCAGTGGCCCCACGTGAGAGAGGGTAGAGGGTCTGGCCCTTGCTTTCTCTGAGTGGCCTCGGAGATGATTGCTGTGATTCTGTCAGGAAGTTCAGAAGCTAGATGTCTCAAACTTTTTCCTTGGCTGTCAATGTCAAGGTGTGTGTGGTGGTCCCTAAGACCACCCTTAGTCTTAACAATTTGCTGGAAGGAGTCACAGAATTCAACAAGGCTGTTATACTCATGATTATAGTTGATTACAGTGAAAAGATACATATTAAAATCAGCAATGGAAAAAGGTGCATAGTCTGGGAGATAGTGGCCATGAGCTTCCACATGTCCTTTCCCAGGGTAGTCATGTGGACACTGCTTAATTCTCATAGCAGTGATACATGACAGGGCGGCAGTCAGGGATGCTTTCCTGAGCTCTCGTGGGCAGGGTTTCTACTGAGGGTCAGTCACATAAGCATGGAGCATCCTGACTTTAGTTACTCAATCTCAACTCCTCCCAGAGGTCAGATTGGTACAGTGTGGCCCAGGGTCACCACTGTAAGTCGCATTGTTAGCATGAACTATCTGGTTTGGCACAAGTCCTTAGGTAAACAAAGACACCTTTAACAGGCAGAATATTCCAAGGGCTTAGAGGTTACCTCTTAGGAGCAGGTCAAGGGCCAAACTTTTGGAACCTGCAGGGTTTGGACAACCCAGGCCTGCTGAGTCAGCCCTTTACTGAATATCTGGCTGCAGCCAAAGGAAGGCTCTCACCACCTTTCCTTGGAGGGTCACTTCAGCAGCTGTGCCCAGCCTCTTCTCACCTCCCTTCACCCTCAGGTTTGGGGGCCCAGGAGCCTGCCCTGCAGCCTCCTTCAGCTCCTGGTTTTGAGGGTGGGGTATCCCCAGGCTTGCACTGTCTGAATAGTAGACTAGGTGCTTGTCCTGAGGTCTCGGGACCCCAGTGCCCAAATCCGGAGGCACGGGGGTGAGGCTGGGGCACAGATGGGGTTGCCTGGTCTCGGCTTCTTTTGGGTGTGGCCAAACATTGCTGTCAGGAAAGCCCAAAACTGCACCAGTTCACAATTTAAAACAGCATTTGGCAGGCCAAGAGGGCACAACTGTGGGCAGGACTGACCACACTGGCCTGTAATGGGGGCTGGGTACCTCTCCTCTGTCTGGGGTGCCTTGGCTGTGCCCCCTGGGCTGGCTTTGACCTTGGCTTTGCTTCTTTCAGGCCCCCACGCCAGCAGGCTCCTCTTCCCCATCTTATGGACCACTTCTCCAAAGTGGGTTTTCTGTTATTAATTTAGTCGTCGTTTCTGTTGCACAGAGATAGAAAGTAATATGCTGATCAGTAGCAGGTTACCCTCCCGTTACATTTTAAATCTAACAGTGTAATATATGTGTATTATGAAGTATGTAAATTCCAAGCCTCACGGCTGGTCTGCCTCTTTGGAGACGGCCGTTGTTAGCCTCTGTGTGTCCCCTCTCCCTCGTTTTATATATGCACATGCAGCACACACATGTCTGCAGGTGTGTAGGTATATAGATGCTTCCAAAGGAAGCCCCACTTATGCTCTGCACCTGCTCTTTCACTTCATCTCTTATTGGCCCTTCCAGTGTCACAAGCAGCTCAACCCTTTCCTTTTAGTGGCTCTTTAGGAGTCATTTGTCTTGCCCATCTCAGGACACACACCCCGGTCCTAGCTGTCGCCCCTCTTCTCCTCTGCCCTCCTGGCCTGCCGATCCTCTAGATCAGCCCAGCCTTCAGCACACAGATGTCCCTGGAGCCCGGGCTGCGGTGCTGGGCACTGTGGAGGGTTGTCTCACCTTCAGTCCTCATGGCAGCCTAGTGTGGCTGTCTCTTTTGGGCAGGGAAGGGAACCGAGGTGTTTTGTGGCAAACAGTTGGCCTCCCATTCCTTGGTCAGGCTTACCTTGATGTGGGGAGGGCTTTTGGTCCTTGGGCATTATATAGCCTCCCCAGGGATGGCTCTCCCCCATGAGATAGGGGCCAAAGCTTGCCTCTGTGTCACAGGGTACTTGAGTGTTTGTGGTCCCAGCGGGTAACCCAGGGGCTTCCCCAGGAGGAGAGAGGGAGTTGCTTATTTATTTAATTTTTTAAAAAGATTTTATTTTTTTTACAGAGACACAGTGAGAGCGAGGGAACACAAGCAGGGGGAGTGGGAGAGGGGGAGAAGCAGGCTTCCCGCAGAGCAGGGAGCCCGATGCGGGGCTCGATCCCAGGACCCCGGGATCATGACCCGAGCCGGAGGCAGACGCTTAACGACTGAGCCACCCAGGCGCCCCGAGGGAGTTGCTTATAGACATTGACTGAGCATACATGGGAAGGAGGGCAGATCAGGCAAGGAGCATGGCTAGGGTCTCCTGTCAGGTGAGTGGGCCTCATCTTGGCCCTCCCTGCTCCCGACTGTCATTCCTGGAGCTTCCTGAGAGACTGCAAAATGTGGGGACTCTTAGAGTTGGCCTGTCCAGATCTACCCAAGCTGGGCTCAGCAGATGTTTTCTGTGAGTCAGTGGCATGCTGGGAACTCTTGGGGAGTAGCCAGGATGCTTCACGGTGAAACTCCAGTCACAAATCAATAGTACAAAGTTGAGCTCTGAGAGATGCTGTTCCCGAAAGAAACAGGGTGCATCGTCTTCCATTGTTGTGGAAGGATACAGGGGAAGTGGGTTTCCCTGGCTGCCTCTAGGACCCTTGCCTGGTTCTGCAGTAGCCTGTCTGCATTTTTTTTTTTTTTACCATGTCCATGTACAGTTGACCCTTAAATAGCATGGGCTTGAACTGCATGAGTCCACTTGTATGTGGATTTTTTTTTAAAGATTTTATTTATTTGAGAGAGAGAGTGACAGAGAGAGAGACCATACAAGCAGGGTCAGAGGGAGAGGGAGAAGCAGACTCCTCACTGAGCAGGGAGCCCGATGTGGGGCTTCATCCCAGGATCCCGGGATCATGACCTGAGCAGAAGGCAGACACTTAACTGACTGAGCCATCCAGGTGCCCTTGATTTTTTTTTTTTTAATAAATATAATACAGTAATGTATTTTCTTTTCTTTCTTTTTTCTTTTTTTTTTTAAGATTTTATTTATATATTTGAGAGAGAGTGAGAGAGAGAACAAGCGGGCTGAGGGGCAGAGGGGAGAAGCAGGCTCCCCACTGAGCAGGGAGCCTGATGCGGGGCTCGATCCCAGGACCCCGGGATCATGACCTGAGCTGAAGGCAGATGCTTAACGACTGAGCCACCCAGGCACCCCTGTAATGTATTTTCTTTGTGCTTTTAATAACATTTTCTTTTTTTCTTAGCTTTATTTTAAAAATACAGTGTATAATACATATAACATGCAAAGTATGTGTTAATTGACTGCTTATGTTATCAGCAAAGCTTCCAGTCAACAGTAAGTTATTAATAGTCAAAAGTTATAAGTGGATCTTCAGCTGCTTGGCGGGGGGTCCCCTAACTCCGTGTTGTTCAAAGGTCAGCTCTTACCTCTAGCAAAACAAACAAAACAACACAAAGCAAAAACTGTGAGTTTTGATATCCTTAATTACATTGTTCAGGGTCTCTGCAAGCTCAGAGCCATGAAAATGCGTTTCTTGTAACTGGACAGCTTCTTGTTTTCCTCCTTGGTGGCCTGAAAGCTCAGAGTTCAGTTTTATGAACAGTTGTTATAAATTCCTGTACCCAGCCACAATGTTTTGAGGCACACCACCTCCCCAACCTGTTAATTTCTGATTTCTGCCTTTGGTCTGACATCAGCTTGTTGTGTATTTCAGAGGCTTGCCGCATTGCTGAGGCTGAAGTTAATTTAGTCCATGGGGCCAGAATTCATCCAGTGGGAAGTGAGCTCTGTGGCCAAATGAGGGAGATTTATTGACGGTCTTTAACAGGTTTATCCAAGCCTGTCTACATTCCCACCAATAAAGGTTTTCTCCCCATTTTACAGCAGGTCAGGGCCAGGGCAGCAGCGGCATTGAAATCAGCAGGCACAGGGCGGGAAAACACATATTCTTTAGCTGTGTCTGGACAGAGGGATGCAGATAGAGCCTCCCCCTCCATTTCTGGCCAGAAGATCCCTCTGAAGAGGCCGCCCAGTGTAAGCCAGTGCCAAAGCACCGAGGGGGGTCCACAAGGCTATCAACCTGCAGGTGAAGTTTGAGATGTTGTGGTGCTTCGAAGCCGGAGAGAAGCTTAGCAGAATTGGGAAGGTGTTGGGGCTGTCCACCTCCACTGTGGCTACCATTTGTGACAACAAGGAGAAGATCCGAGCGAGTTCCCAGGCGGCCACCAGATTGATGCGCAGCCGCAGCCTGGTGATGGAGAACATGGAGCGGCTGCTAAGCGTGTGGATCGAGGACCAGAACCAGCGCAATGTGCCCATCAGTGTCTTCCTCATCCAGGAGAAGGCTCGCAGCCTGTTTGAGGACCTCAAGCGGGAGCAGGGTGAGGGTGCCCAATCGGAGACCTTCGGGGCTAGCTGAGGGTGGTTCACGCGGTTCAAGGCCCGACATAGCCTGCCTGGTCTTGGGGTGGGTGTCGAGCTATGGGCACAACTGCGGCAGCCATGCGCTGGTACCCCGCCCTTCTGCGGAGAGTGATCCAGGAGGGCGGCTACACACCCCGGCTGGTGTTCAACATGGGTGGGACTGGACGTTTCTGGAAGCGACTGCCTGCCAGGATGCTCCTTTCCCTGGAGGAGAAGTCAGCCCTGGGGTGCAGAGCTGCCCGAGATCTCCTGACCTGCGGCTTGGTGGCAGTGCAGCTGGAGACCTCAAGCTGAAGCTGCTGCTGCTGTATCCCTCAGAGAACCTGCGTGCTCTCAAGGGCTGCTCCAGGCCCAACCTGCCCATGGTGTGGCGTTCACACAAGAAAGCCTGGGTGACCATGAGCATCCTCCAGGAGTGGTCTGTGCACTTCTGCCCAGCTGTGGAGAGGGACTGTGCCCGGTACGGCCTCCCGTACAAAGCCCTGCTCATCCTGGACAGTGCCCCTGGCCACCCTGGGAACCTGGATGACCTATCGGACCACGTGCGTGTGCTGTACCTGCCCAAGAAAACCATGGCCCTCGTCCAGCCCATGAACCAGGACATTGTTGCCACGTTCAAGGCCTGCTACCCACGGACGGTCTTCCGCCTGTTGGCGTTGAGGGTGGGAGACAGGGACCAGCGGTTGGTGGTCCTTGACTTCTGGCGAGACTACAGCATTCTTGACACCGCCTACAACATCTCTGAGTCCTGGGAGGAGGTCCCGCCAGCTACCCTAAATGGGGGGTGGAGGAAGCTGTGGCTCGAGGGCATCCAGCAGGATGCCAACAGGCTGCACGTAGCAACTCTACCGCAGATCCTGCAGGACATCCTGGCATTGGCCCGTGGTGTGGGTTTTAGAGAGGTGACCGAGGCAGATGTGGTGGAGCTTCTGCAGAGCCCCGGGCGGGCCTCTCCATTGAGGAGCTGATGGGACTGGAGCAGGGGCATGCAGCTGGAGAGGAGGGAGAGGACGGCTTGCCCAGCTCACCTCCAGACACTGGGCCATGGCTTTAGCATACTGTGATGCTGGTCTGCAGATCTTCAGTGACAATGACCCCAACCTGGAGCGCAGCCTCTGAGTCTGCCGGGGCATAAACAACATAGTCACCTGCTATCGGGAGGTTTTCAAGGAGAAGAGAGGCTCCAAGTAGTGGTGGTGGTGCTGGTGGCGGGGGCTTGGGAGCTCCAGGCACACAGGACTCCGTCGGGGAGAGGGCTTCCTCATGACTCCCTTTGTTCATGTTGAAGTTGCAATGGCCTGAATTTTTCCATTTCATTATATTAATTCCCCAAATGATTTTTATCAGCAAATAATTTATTATCCCAAGTGAACTTCTCAAATACATGGTTTTAAAAGCCTTGATGAATTCTCAAGTGTGATTTGTGTGTGTTGTGTGTGTGTGTGTGTGTGTCCTGGGCCCTTTGGAGGAAAGTGTACCAAGTTTCTTTCTTTTTTTTTTTTTTTTAAAGATTTTATTTATTTATTCATGAGAGACAGAGAGAGAGAGAGAGAGAAGCAGAGGGAGAAGCAGGCTCCCCGCTGAGCAGGGAGCCCGATGCGGGGCTTAATCCCAGGACCCTGGGACCATGACCTGAGCCGAAGGCAGACGCTTAACCATCTGAGCCACCCAGGCGCCCAGCGTACCAAGTTTCTTAATGGAGGCCCTTGACAAAGCCCGGCTCACTGTGCAGCATGCCCAGCAGTGTTCCTGTGCCTGTGAGCTGTCCCTTTGTTTAGTGTGGGACTCTTGGAGCTGTGTGGACATTCAGTCAGGAGAGGGGTTTTGCTTGGTTTCTGGTCATCTCATCTCCCAGCTGGGCTTTAGGCCCTGCAGACAGAAAAGGCTGACCCCAGATGAGCCTCCAAAGAGACCCAGTGATACGGAGAGTAGGTTTAGGCCTTGGGTGCTAATTGTCACTCTGTTCTGTTCTCTGGAATGATGTTGTGTCCCTGCTGACTGGCTAGGGAGAGAGAGGAGAGACTTCGACCCATGGTGGGTGAGCTTGGGAGGCAGCATACTCACCAGGCCTCCCAGCCCCTAACAAGGGGCATCCTCATGGCTGCAGGTCTCTCTTGGCCAAAACTGGATGCTAATTCTTCCTTTCTTCTCGTCTCCTCCCCTGCTCTCTCTGCCTTGCGCCCCCTCTGTTTACTGGTTTCCATTTGACTTCTGCCATGCCCCTTTGACTTCTCCCTGTGGACACGGCTTATCCCAGACAGGGGTGACATTTGGAGAAAGGCCCTGGATCCCATGAGGGAAGGCTGGGGGCCACCCAGTGCCCTGCAGAAGGCAGCCTTCGGGGATGTGACCTGTTTGGGTAAGGATGTGGATTTTGGGGAGCAGGTTGGCCTTATTGCCGGACACATAGGCCTTCAGGTGAGTGGTCTGTTTCCAGCCATGGATTCCTGCTGCAGAAAGCCTTCACCTGAGCCTATCCTCTTTCCATAGGAGTGGGGGAGAGGGAGGGCTAGCTTAGGGGATTGGTTATTGTTTAAATTTGACCTGAAGGTTTTGCTATGGGGCCAAGATGCCCACACATCTCCCATCTCCCTTCTGTACACACCTGCACACACCTGGCTGAGGTATGCCCAGACTTGACCTCAAATTACACGCAGGAAATGAGTACTACCTGCTGGCTGGGCCTGTTGCACCCGAGCAGGCAACTCTTCTGCCCTAGTGCTGGGGCCAGCTCTGAGTTCTCCTGGGTGCATACACCCACCGTGGGTGTATCTTGGGATCCCAGGGTTGCTGGTCAGCTTCTCCCATTTGGGTGCCTGCACCACTTAATGTAGAACAGAGTCAGATAAGAGACTGACTTTAAACACCCTTGGGGACATTAATCAGATAAGGGAAGAGTCACTTGCTATTAGTTGGCCATGGGGCATGTGGCCCATCTCCATTTAGGAGTCCAAGCCCGCTGGTCAGTGAGTGCCCAGCTGCCCTGGCAGGGAGACCTGGGCAAAAACTGGACCTGCACTAGTTTCCAGCCAGTACAGCTCTTCACCTTTGTCACAGTTCCCAGCTGCATCCAGGGAGGATCTTGGGTGTGATGCCAAACAACAGTTTTATCACTGTTTTAACCTTTTACTGTCTAGAAAGAGAGAAGACAATTCCATGTATTTCCAGTGATAAGTACAGTGAGATAGTCGAACAAGTGAAACTTACCAAACCAGAAAAGAGGAATCTACCTTCTTTCTCTGCCAACTGAAGTGATTTGTCATTTGCCTTGGGAATGGGGAAGAAGGTTGTCCGCCTGTCAGAAGGCAACTCGAGCTTTTGCTACCATGTCAAAAATGATCACATGTAGGGGCGCCTGGGTGGCTCAGTCGTTGAGTGTCTGCCTTCGGCTCAGGTCATGGTCCCAGGGTCCTGGGATTGAGCCCCGCATCAGGCTCCCTGCTCCACGGGAAGCCTGCTGCTTGCTCTCCCACTCCCCCTGCTTGTGTTCCCTCTCTTGCTGTGTCTCTCTCTGTCAGATAAATAAATCTTAAAAAAAAAATCACATTTAGGATGTGCTGCATGAGCCCATGTCAGCATTGGGCACGGAGGGAAGCCTAGGATGCTGGCAGAGCTGAAGAGAGAACGAGAATGTGGTGCAGGAAGCCATACTCCTGTGCTTGAAGCTATGCAAACCCTGCCAGTGTTAAGTTGCATCCTGTGGAGAAAGGTATGTTGTTGAAGACTGATGTTTGTGGAGACGAGGAGCTGGTGCCAGGTGGACCTTACTGACATGCAGTCTCAGGCTGATGGACAATTCAAATTCATCATGGTCTACCGGGGTTGCACCACCAAATTTGCCTAGTAGAGGCCTCTGGCCAGCACAGGTGCTGTGGGTGTGGCCAGATGTCTGCTAGGTATATTCTGTATCTTTTTTTTTTTAAGATTTTATTTACTTTAGAGAGAGAGCACGTGAGCCAGGGGAGGGGCAGAGGGAGAGAGAGAGAGAGAGAGAAGCAGACTTCCCACTGAGCACGGAGCCCTATGCAAGGCTCAATCTCACAGCCCTGAGATCATGACCTGAACTGAAACCAAGAGTCAGATGCTTAACCAGTGAGCCACCCAGGCACCCCACATCTGCATCTTTGGGGCCCTTTCTAGTCTCTAGTCTGAAATGGAAGATACTTTGCAAATGAGGTAAATGGTGTGTTGAAAGGCACATGGAGTGGCTTAATGATTGTGACCAGGAAGCAACATCTGAGCCAGAGCCCAGGCAGCGTGGCGCAGGGCCACCAAGACATCCAGAACTTTGTGACTTGGTAGAAGGGACCAGCACATGGACCTTGGGGCTGCACTTTGTCCAAGTGATGAAGAACAGAAATTTGTTATTTTAGTTATTTTTTTGTTTTTAAAGATTTTATTATTTTTATTTTTTAAAGATTTTATTTATTGGACAGAGAGAGCAAGAGAGAAGCAGAGGGAGAGGGAGAAGCAGACTCCCCGCTGAGCAGGGAGCCTGACGTGGGGCTTGATCCCAGGACCCTTGGATGATGACCTGAGCTGAAGGCCGATGCTTAACCAAATGAGCCACACAGGTATCCCTAGTGTTTGGCTTCTACCTTCTCGCTTTTCAAAAATATCTGTTGGTATTCCAAGAAATGATTGGAAAATGCTAACTCAGGCAAAGGTTTTCTTTTGTTTGGTTGGTTGTTTAAATTTTTATTTAAATTCCAGTTAGTTAGGAGTGCCTGAGTGTCTCAGTCAGTTGAGTGTCCAACTCTTGATTTCTGCTCAGGTCATGATCTCAGGGTCATGAGACCGAACCCCATGTCGGGCTCTGCGCAGAGTGTGGAGCCTGCTTAAGATTCTCTCTCTCCTTCTCCCTCTGACCCTTGTCCCCCATCCTCCTGAATCACTGAATTCTACTCCAGAAACCAATAATGCACTGTATGTTAACTACCTAAAATTTAAATAATAAAAAAGCCATAACTTAAAAATACATTGGAAGCCAATAAACATCTTTACTAAACATGACACTTTGACCTAGATAAAACTAAATCTAAACTTCAAAAAAATAATAAATTCCAGTTAGTTAACATACAGTGTAATATTAGTTATTAATTTCAGGTGTACAATATAGTGATTCAGTACTTCCATACAATGCCTGGTGCTCATCACAAGTGCGCTTCTTAATCCCCAATCATCAGTTTGTTCTCTATGGTTAAGAGTCTGGTTCTTGGATTGCCTCTCTTTTTTTGTCCCTTGCTCATTTGTTTTGTTTCTTAAGTTGCACATATGAGTGAAATCATATGGTATTTGTCTTTCTCTGACTGGCTTAATTCACTGAGCTTAATACTCTCTAGCTCCATCCATGTCATTGCAAATGACAAGATTTCATTCTTTTTTTTTTTTAAGATTTTATTTATTTGACAGAGAGACAGTGAGAGAGGGAACACAAGCAGGGGGAGTGGGAGAGGGAGAAGCAGGCTCTCCGCCGAGCAGGGAGCCCGATGCGGGGCTCGATCCCAGGACCCTGGGATCATGACCTGAACCGAAGGCAGACACTTAATGACTGAGCCACCCAGGTGCCCCGAGATTTCATTCTTTTTAATGGCTGAGTAATATTACATTGTATCTAGATACCAATCTTCTTTATCCATTCATCTGTCCATGGACATCTGGGTGGTTTCCATAATTTGGCTATTGTAGATAATGCTAAAATAAACATCAGGGTGCACGTATCCCTTTGGATTGGTATTTTTATATTCTTTGGGTAAATACCTAGTAGTGCAATTGCTGAATCTTAGGGTAGCTCTATTTTTAACTTTCTGAGGAACCTCCATATGTTTTCCAGAGTGGGTTCCTGATGGAGCACAATGCTGTATCAGCCCAAACAAATATAAGACTATACCTGAAAACCTTTTCTTTCCCTGGAATTTTTGACTGGAGGAAGCATGCAAGATGGAGGTTTGCAGATGGATCCATTAAAATGTAAAATTCAGGGTGCCTGGGTGGCTCAGTTGGTTGAGCGACTGACTTTTTTTTTTTTTTTAAGATTTACTTATTTATTTGAGAGAAAGAGCACGACTGGGAGGGGCAGAGGGAGAGAGAGAGACAGAGAGAGAACCTAAGCGGAATCCCTGATGAGCGCACAGCCCAACACAAGGCTCCATCTCATGAGCCTGAGATCATGACCTGAGCCGAAATCGAGTTAGATGCTTATCTAACTGCCACCAAGGTGCCCTGAGCAAATGACATTAAATCGTTAACCAGACAGTGGGGAGACTGGGCTGCTGCCCCCAAAGCCATTGGATATTCCTTTTCCAAAAGCAAAAGGTCTAGGTTACAGGGAGGGGGAGATTGGCTCCTGTGAGTCAGGCTCTAGTTGGGGCTTGGGCCCT